TCTGCTTTTAAATTTCAAAGTCTGTACCTAATCTTATTTTGCCTCTCAGAGTGACAAAGTATTACAGGAATTTTGTTTAAGACCTGTATTTAATTTGTCAGTGAATCAGCTAAAAATACAGAATACGCAACTATTTCGATGTTATTTATTTCTTGCTCACTTTGTGTTCTTGAAAATCTAAGATTGTAAAACAATTTTATTTCAAACACCTAAGATAAGATAAACTCTGTATTACCCAAAGGGAGCTACCTACTTTGAAAAGTTAATGAAAATAGCAAACTGGCCACCTGAAAAGAATGGGGCAAACATCTAAAGAAAGGGGAAAGATCAAAGATTGGAACAGGGACTACAGAACTTCAAGCAATCTCAGGGTCCAGTAGATTGAATAGAGCCCAAAGGGTGATACAGCCTAGAGCAGTCTGAGCCTCTTAACTGCAGTATTCAAATCCTGCTCACTGTACCTGCTGCAGTCAGGGCACGCTTGCCTTCATCTCTCTTCTACAAATGCAAAAAGATTTTCATTGTTAAGGACTCATCCATACAGAGAAAGTCCAATCTGCACTACTTTGTTTAAACTTATGCCAGATTGTTGCCACTGAAATGATGGAGCCTCCGGTCTCTAAATTCCAGCACACAACACAGCTCGGTCTTTCTCATTGCCAGTGCTTTCCAAACAAATTGGCAGCCACTGAAATCTGACTGATGGGGCAAGATTTTGTTTGTTGGTAGCTTCTTATATTTAGTATAAATTGTCTTTTTTTGACCCCATCTTGTGGCTTTACAACTTCTTTTAATTCTTATACCAAAACAACCTGTATGGTTTGTTAACCTGGGGAGGCCATGTTTTTTCTGCTATTGAAATTATTAATTAATACATGTGGGTTTCTAAAATCATTGCAAGAAGCTGAAGATTTGTATATATGATTAGCTTGGCATGTGTATGTTTATCTTCTGCCTTGCGTATTTCCTGGCCTGTAAGTGTGACTGAAATCTGGCTTTCTGGGTCATGCTCAGTGTAGACAGAGTGCTTGAAACCTTCTCAGGAAACTCCAATGGAAAGGTTAGTGATTGTGTACAAATAGTGATTTTTAGAGTGTCAAATTTGAATGTCTTCTCATAAGGACAAATTCAGGAATCTTTTTCATTGCACTACAATTCATCCTGTCAAATTTCCAATTCTGGTTCAAAGCAAGGGCTGAGGGAAAACCTTCATATGTACTGAAAGAAGTAATATAATCAGCTCGGTGTTATTATTTCCTGCCTTCATTGCTGGAAACAGATCAACCCAAAAACATGGGAAAGATCTGTGAAAGATAATTCCAAATCCAGTAATTAAAATTTAGCATTGCAAGGAATCCAAAACTAGCTGCACTAGTAACCCTATAGCTGTAACCGTAGTGGTCTGTCAGGTCCATTTGTAATACTTGATAAAATCAATACATTTAAAGATAAGGAAAGCAGAAGTTATAAATGTAGAATTCCAGTGAAATAGTTCCATGCATAATTGCTGCCCTATAAATGAACAATAGCATCTCACATTCTACCCTTTTTAATACAAGTCAGTGTCAGAAGTTGTGTTCTCTGGGCTTGCAAAGATGGAAATTGGATCTAAATTATGTATGTTTTCTACTGACCTGTATGTTAAATGATCAAGAATTACAGAAGTCTCATGCCATAGTCTCCTCTGCATGTATGCATGCATGCATATATATTTGAAGAGAACTGTATGAAAATTCAAAAATGATTGTTTCTCCTATATCAAAGAATGAAAGAAATATAGCTATTCTGCTATTACTTAATTTTATTTTTATTTATGTATACGTAAAGTATTTCTCCCAAGGTCAGAGGGAGAGGTCAGAGCCAAAATAAAAATCACTCCTGGGACTGTTTTGCCACATGATCTTTTCTGTGTTTTGAAAGGTCAGAGTCTATGTGGGACAAATTTAATAAACAGATCCCAAAAGTATTCTACTCAATTTCCGAGGAAACGTTACAGAATGCTAGAATTGGGATTTTGCTACACTGAAATGCCAATTGTTTTGCGATATTTTGTCTTATAATTATGAAGATGGCTCAGCTCCAGCTGAATCATTGATTAGTTACATCCCTTCCCAAAGGAAAAAATAAGTCTTATCTAGAATGTCTGAAAACTGATATTAGAACTTGTTAGAAGTGGTAGCTTGTATCTGCTTTCTCCTTTTCTGTACTGAGCTTGACAAAAAAGCGAAAGGTACCAATAAGGAGCATAACATCACGTTAACCACCTGCCGTATAATCAGCAGTTCAAAGTACTCTGCAGCTTTTGAGAAACCCTGGATGGGCATTTCTGCTGGATGCAGAAAATAACCTGACAAAAAGCTGAGAATTTCTTGTCCTTTCTGGGGCATTTTCTTATCAAAATAAGAACCTTAAAAAAAAGAAAAAGGAGTAACTGAGGTATAGTAAAGGCAGTGTACTTGGAAATATCTACCAAAGTCACTTTAAATTTTTTTTAAAATAATTCTTAATTTTAATTATATTTATTCTTTATAATATTTATATTTTTTATATTCTTGCATAAAATCTCTTTAAGAAATACGATTTTTCATCCTTGTATCCTCTTTCTTAAAGAGATCTTAAATGAGAGTATAACCAAGTATACCCAAGAATAAAATTAAAGAGATGGCAGTGAAGCATACTGTTCCCAGGGAGGAAAAAAAAAAAAAAAATTCACAGTCATTGCAGAAAATACTAATTACATATGCACGCAGGCCAATTGACTCTGCAGGCACAGTTTGCACTGTAAATTATGTACACTGGTTATTATTGACAGGACAAAACACTAGGTGCTCTGACCACTGGTGCCTATTTCTTTTTTCAATATATGGTAGCAAAATTAAGATGTTCTACTTCTGTGTACAGAGTCAAACCTCCGACCCAGGCTGTGTGGAAATGATCATTATTTCATTCATACTGACTTTACTTCAATATTGATCATGTCACTCATTTCAATGGAACGGGTTGTGATTTAAGCTGGTAAAGGTAAAATCAGCCTTCATGATGATTACAGCTGAACACCACTTACTTGCTATGAAACAGTAATTTTTTCTATTATATTAGCTACTTCCTTCCTCAACATGGCTTACTACTGGTCTAGCCTTTCTGTATGTCACAGACTGTTTTTTACCCTACAGTTTTTGGAGCATTTATCATATGAGCCACAGTGTGTACACACCTGCTACGGTAATAAGAATAGATGAAAATAAGATAATTGACATGATGTTTCCTGTCCACATGTGATTAAGCAGAACTGTGTTGTAACAAGGGCCATCCAGCCTAGTGCCTCAACAACTATCTGTCAGTATCTAGTACAGATCCTTAGGGAGTGGAAAAATCAGAACAGAGCAAATACAGCCTCAGTGAGGGAGCAGTTGGAGTCTGCAGACAATGTGGAACATTACTTCAGAGGAGCGAAGCTTGGGCTTGGGACTGAAACCTAAAGGTAACAGCTGAAATTATTTTAGTGTTGTTCTTTCAGCAGAAACTTCCCAGAGGCCCCAAACACTTTTTATGCCTTCCCCTGTGCCAGAAGCACCAATTCAGTCCCACACAGGATTCAAATTCTGCAGCTGTTCTCTCAATAACTTCCACAATGCAGTTAGTTATTGCTAATACAAAAAATCTATAGCACACTGTAAAGTAGAAATATAATACAATATATTTAATGACTGGATACCTCTATGAAGACTTAAGCAAGCCATACAGGAACAGTTCAGGACTTGTAAGGCAAATCAAAAATTTCCTGATGGCGAAGCATCAACATAACTTGCTTTATGACATCTGCTTCCCCTTCACAGAGGAAGCAACCTGATTTGATGCAGGTAGGGAAAAGAAGGGCATGATATAAACCCAGTTTGCACCTGGAAAACCTGATTATTGTGCTCTAAATTGTTCACAATGGGAGAACGATGCTGCAGATTCACCTGGTTTCCTTCTCGGCTTCTGCAGCAGGAACATTAGCTAAAAGTCATCCTGAATATGGAAATGGAAAGCATGGAAGAGGTGCAGTGTCAGTGTTTTCTTCTCGTTGCTTAGCTTCAAAACTTCCTTCAACTGCAACCACATTGCTTGTTCACTGAGAACTTTAATAAACTGTATCAGCCCTATATATGATAAAGTATGAGAGATTCTATTTACCTGTGAAGTTCTTAATAGTAGATAGATAGAAACTTTTTACTGATATAGCTTCTTATGTATTACTTTCCATTTCAATTCTTTAAAGTAAGATTCTTCTTTCCGAATGAACTCTGGATTATGGCTTTAATCTACCCCAATGTAACACAGAGCAAAACTTTATTTTATGGATAACACTTCATCTGAATCTAAAAGTTATACTACTAATTATTGCAACAGTTTAGGACCTTATAGTTTACACAATTATTATACTACATATTGAATTAATCTTACCTAAACACCTGGTACTGCCATTTATTTTCTATTTTTGATAGGGATGTCAATTCAAAAAGCAAAATCAAGAAGAACTTTTCTTTTGAAAAAGACATTGTTTTGTGTATATCTAATTAACATGCATCTCGTGTTGTCACATTACTATTTTGATATACAGCCACAGATTAATTGCAAAATATTCTGTTACATTTAAAATTCAGCTTTGTCTGCATTTATTAGTTAAACCTGGGTTGTGTTTTATGGAAACTAAAGTTTTGAATCCAGAACCTTTGTATTGATGTATTTGACAGTTTTAAGCTTATCGTCAGACTTTTTTTTATTCCTTAATGAGTCCATACTGTTATATAATGTTTTCCATCTTCCCATAAGGGAGAAAACACAAGCAATCATAACTTAATAACACTCTGTATGCTAAGAATGTGTGGTGGCAGATAATGAAGTCCAATATACCTGATTACAAGTTGCTCTTTAGATGTAGGACAAATACAAGATGGCAATGTCAAAGCAAGGAACACTTACACAATGAAATATTAATGAAAATACATTGCACTTACGTCTCAATGACATCTAAATGGGAATCAGTTATCAGATCTTGAGTGTTTGCAACAAATTTCTACTCTGTAAAAAAAAAAAAAGGTCCATTGAACTTTAAAAATGTCAGCCAGCAGGGCTTTCAAATACATAATTTACTATTTTGTTGGCTTCCTATAAATGGGTAATAATAAACTCCTAGCTAAAAGCAAGCTCATAAATGCTGAATCAAAAACGTGAAGAACACCATGAAATGATAAATGCAGAGCTGTATGGTAATTTTCTTCTAAGTAGAAAATGTAGCTGTAGTGTTAAAGATGTGGATGGAAATTTTTACATTCCGCTTATGCAGCGTGAGGTCTTCATAGGAAAGAATGTGTGCCACTATTTGTATACTGCTACAGTGATGCAGTAACACAACTGCTGGAATTGCAGCTAAAGCTTGATGGACTTCCATGAGCAATATATTTTCACAGTCTTCGCTGTTACACTTGCCTTTTTGATATGCTCTCATACTTATTTATTTAAGCATATGAAAAGTAGACTATTATGTTTATCAGAGGGAATAATGAAGTAATTTCTCTTCGAGAAGTTTTAGTGTTAATCAAAAATTGACCGATGTTATATTTTTAAAAGGAATATATTATTGAATGGTATTAACAGAACTTCTAATGCTAAAAACTTTTATACCATCCAGAATTAGATTCTGTTTTAAGCTAGGACTGTAGGATGAATTATGATAAAAACTTCTCATTTCTGGGTTCGATTTTAATAGCATACAGACTACATTGGAAAGGCTCTGTTCTGCTAATCAGTGCTCTTCTACCGACACTTTGGTCTCTTCTTTATGGGACACAGTCTCCCCTGCTGGGTGTATTATATGAAATCAGTAGGTGTGACTTGACCTGGGCAGACTAGCGAGCGGAACGAAACTTGGTAAGTGTATCAGGTCCTGAAGACTGTTAAATCGTTCATTTGGATAAATGTGTCTGGGGCTATAAAATCCCATTACGTGGTCCCCTGTCATAGTGGATTCAGATTGCACACCTGAGCTACAACATAACTAATTCCTTTGCCAGATTGGAGGGGTTGAGAGCACCCACACAGGCTCTGATCAACTCCTTTGGAAGGAATCCTAGATTTCTAACAAAGTGATTTACAGCCTTATCTCTTCTGGATACGGTTTCAGCGTGTAGCTGAAGAGTCAGCAGTCTGCGCCACACTGTAGGACACCTCTGTCTAGTATGAATTCAGTTAGAGATTTAGAAATTATTTTTTCAAATGTTTATATTGCATCATAACAAGAAAAGGGAAAAAAAGTACATTTTTGACATAGGAGCATTTAGGTAAATTGCATTTATGTAGGATAAATCCTGAAACTGTAAAATGAATAGATTTTTATTTTTTTAAGGTTTATATTTTAAAAATTTAGTCTTAAAGCTTAGATGTTTAGTCCTCGGTTAAAAAAAGGACCGCTCTTAATCAAAACAATGTTATAACAATGATTTAATTGGATTTATTTTCTGTTCACGTTCTAATATTTGTCATAGGAATGAGCGACAGCATTGTGGAATATTAATATGTGATATATTCCTGTTCACACTACACTGTATCATGGCAGACCTTTTAGCAAGCAAATAATGTTAATTTTTTTCCTAGTTTAGGAGAATATTCTTGGAATACGCATAACCCCCCCTCCAATTTACTTATCTTAGCTCTTTATTATTATTAAAGTATCTAGCAGTATGCTTAGGATGGCTTCATAATTCTATACACATAGAAACTGTATGTTGTTTTAGAGACATTTTTTGTATTATCTATTATACTATGTTACAGCCTAAAAAATCTGTTCAAGATAAGGCCACAGTAGAACAAGACAAAGCAAAATATGTGAAGCAAACATAGAATAAATTAATTTTTAGAAAGTGATCTTGGAACCCTCACTGGTTTCAGAAGCTAAATTTGACTTCCCATATTTTAATAGTAGCACATCACTTGTCCAGGCTCCTGTCGGTGATCCCCAGTGACAGGACGTAACGCAACGGGCACAAACTAAAACACAGGAGCTTACATTAGAAAACACTTTTTCACCGTGAGGGTGACCAAGCACAGGCACAGGTTGCCCAGAGGGGCTGTGGAGATATATCCTTGGAGATATGAAAAAGCTGTCTGGACATGTTCCTGGCTAAGAGGCTCTAGGTGGCCCTGGGTTAGACAAGATGATGTTCAGAGGTCTCTTCCAACCTCAACCCTTCTGTGACATCCAATGTCTATCTGCAACACTGGATCATGTGGTCCATAGTGATCAATACCAAAGCCATGCAGGATAAAAGAGTGCAAACTGTCCACAGGATGGTCTCCCAAGTGAGCTGTATTTTTGGAAAAATTTCTTCAAAACCCTTACAGCAAGGATGCTAAGCTTTATGGAACCTTTAGCATATTTCAAGCTAAATTTTTTAACTGCTTATTTTGCTTTGTGACATGATGACTTCTCAAATATATCTCTCTAATGTGGTATAAGTAAGTTCTCAGAAGGCGCCTAAGTCTCCTTTTCTCCTGTTATTTACTTATTTCAAAGTGGAAAACAAAAGCATTTTTGTAGGCATCATTAGGCAATTCATCCTGTTCCTCACCAAGATCCCCAGAGTTTTCCCACAGCTTTATTGATTATGCTGAACTGCCTCATACACTGTACACAGCCACTCAATAGGATGATGATGGCAATCAATAGAAAGTATAATAAAATAATAAACTTGGCTGAGAACAGCAGCGATACACTTAGACCTCAGAATTTAACCTGTGAACTACATTTACATTCGACAGGCCCTGTCTGTATTAAAGCTTACTCCAGTGGGTTTGGGACTGGGTTTATATTTGTTGCTTGGAAGAAACAGGACATACAATCAATCTTGTGTGAAATGTGTTAACGGAATAATGTAGCAGAACTAGCTACTCCTAGGATTTACATGCTGCAATTTCCTTTGTTGAGCTCTAACCAGTGGCTCTACAATATGAACATTTAAATCCTAGTAATGAATTATTAGTGTCTAAGATATTTTGAGTTAAAATATACACAGCAATATGTCTTAAATTAGATTATATTTAGGTTTTGTTCAATTAGTCTTTGCTAAATGACTAAAAATGATTCCTGCAGGTAGACACAACTAACTTTGAGAAAAAATCTGGAACTGCTTGTCAGGTATTATAAAGCCCTATAAAACACAATTTACATTAAATGTGATAACACCTCTTAGCTATAGTAATATTTTTTATATTTTCCTATCAATAGTAACATTTCACTGTACTGCAGATATTTTAATGTAATTTATAAGTTTAAATGTATTGCACAGTTTCCCAACCTAGAAGGGAAGGACTGTTATGTGTTGCGGAGATGCACAGAATATGACATCACCTACTCACAATTTGCTTCAACAGTGGTAACAATCAAGAAGTCAGAGCTGTTGTTTTATAGAGTAACACGTTTTACAATTCATTTTATGATGTTTAAAATGCTTTCTTCTGTTATTATATTGTATCTTTCATTTTTCTTCCCCTGACTTTCTGCTGTCGGCAACGTAATTGTCCCATGAGCTTTGTGAATTGAGTACCTTAGTATAATGTACAAATTACTGCCCTTGAGCTGCAGATTGAATCTTACAGCAAATGTAAACAACTGAATTGGCAACATTGTTTTGAAAAAGCTTTGCTAGAATTCTGCATACTAGCATCCTTTGTATCCATGGATCACTTACAGTAAAGAACACTTTAGGGACAAGTGCACATCTGTGCTATAGGCAGGAAAAACTTCAAAAGCATCATGGCTTTATCTGAACTTCAGCAAACAGGTACACTTCCCAACTTCTGACTTAACGCTTCAGCTGCACCCTAACTTTGTTCTGGGAGAAGACTCGAGTTTGGGCCAAATTTCAGACTGAAACACGCTGATTTTATAATTTTTTTTTTTTTTTGCATGAAATACAGTCTCATTGGCTACAAGGAAAGAAGAGCTTTCTAAAACTTCTCCCCAGGTGTGCTGGAGACCTAGATCAGAGGGTGTGCCCAGAAGCTCAGTGCCTCTTTAAATGCAGTTAAGGTGGGTATAGGAGCAGCTGCTCCGAGTTCTGCTCACAGACACCTGGACCTGCAATGGTTTGTGAAGGTGAGGGAGCAGCGTGTAAAGGTCAGTGAAGCTATTATGTTTCCATGAATTAAATAGCTTTTCCTCATGTATGTATGAATATAGTAAACTCCCCTGGAGCCTTAGATGCTAGTAATTATTGACTATGGTGTGGTACAGCTGTAGTTTTACTGCATCATTAGAGGAACTTCTTCCACTCTGGTGCTTCCAGAGATGTCTCCAGACACATGCCAGGGTACATGTGCTATGCACCAGAAGATATATTGTGTGATCTTTTGCTTTCTTCAAGGGAAAATGTTTTGTGCATCTTAAATATTTTCATTCTCATGTTAGTTACAGGCAGCCTAACATTCAGTGTTTAGAGGCTTTTATTTTTTTGTGTGGGTGGAGAGCAGACTCTGTTAATATAATGCATCATCCATGCAGAATTGTCTTCAGCAGTCTGTAGTACCTCAGACCTTGCAGTGTGGGTTTGCCTATACACTTGTGTATAAATACATGTGCACATAGCAGGAATCGCTTCTTTATCATTTAAATGCAGCCAGCTCTTAGAAGAGATGGGGTGACTCTTAGGTAGTGGACAGAAATATTAGATGAGTGTAAAGTAAAGAAAAAAAAGAGAAGATGCCAAGTTCTGTGTAAAAGGTTTTAGTTGGGATATATAGTAATGACCTGTATTGGCTTTGCCTGAAATACATGAGCTTCATACACGGGTACTGGCAGAAATGGCAGTGAATATTTAACACAAGTCACAACTCTTACACTTTCATGTTTCATATTCAATATATCTTTCTAAGTGTGTTATTCATTGTACCAAAAGTGATATAAACAAATCCGGCTCTGCAGACTACTGTTTACTCTCCAAGTGGCGTTTTAAGAGCAAACCTTCCTTCCTTGACGTACCACAGTGACAAATTACAGCTAATACTTCTACATCCTATAGGAAAGG